ATAGAAGAAAGAATTAAATAGTCTGATAACCTTAAAAAAGTTTATTTATCATTCCATTTCCTAAACAACATGCCTCCAGAAAGTCTAAGAACTTTAATAAATGCTTATAGTTATAGAAAGGCTTCAGGCTTTTTATTCACAGGGTCACTATGAGTCATGCTCAATTCAAAGGCAATCAACAACAACAACAACATAACAAAAATATGTAAAGCCTATATACCAATTTTATATATTTGGTTATTAGACAGTCTTCAAAATTGAGGTTGTTCAATTAAAGCTAATAACCAACCAATCCTACACCTTTCCACCCTTCTGATAAACTAAGATTCAGACAATTCAACAAATTCTTCCAGAACACAAAATACATGAACAGCACAGTCAAAACTTAGGCAGTTCAGTTCACAATGATTTCAAAAAGAGCTCAATTCCCTAATCTTTAATGAACACAAAATAGACCCTTTTTGTTAGGTGCCATCCAGTCAAGTACATCTCATAATGATCCTATGAACAATAGACCTGAATCCTGTCTTATCCTGAGCCATCCTCATCCTCTCTGCCACACTTGCGCCCATTGTTGTGGCCACTGTGTCAATATATGTCATGGAGGTGTTCCTCTCATTGACCCACCATCTTTTCAAGCATGATATTCCTTTCTAAGGAATAGCCATTCCTAGCAACATTTCCCAAGTATGAGACGAAGTTTTGTATCCTTGCCTCCAAGGAGCACACTCTGGCTACATTGTCCCTTCAATATTGTCCTTTTCACAGTCCATGGAATGTATTCAGTACTCCTCTCCAGCATCACAACTCAGAAGCATTATTTCTTCTTCTGTCATCTTCTCTTTTCATTATCAGTTCTCAGATGCATAGCAGGTGAATGAAAAGACCATGGCTTGAATAAGGTGCACATTAGACTTCAAACTGATATTATTACTCTTATGTTTTTCGGAGAGGATGGAGGGTCAGGGAAAGAGAGGAAGACAGATTGGCGTGGTGACTGCAGCAATGAGCTCAAGTATGCCAGAGATGATGACAATGGCACAGGATAGGACAAGTTCAGGTCTGTTGTTCATAGGGTCATATGAGTCATAAAAGAGAACACCCGACAACAACAACAACTGACAGCAGACTTCTCCAGTGTAATACATCTGATCTGATGGCTGATTCCAAGGGTGTTGATTGTTCATCCAAACAAGATGAAATCATCGACAGCTTCAATCCTTTCATCATATTTCATGATGTTGTCTGTTTGCTTAGCAAATAGTTACTACCACACATGGTAGATTCACACGCTGGAATACTACGCAGCACTCAGGAGCAATGACTTAGACAATTACTACATAACTTGAGAGGCTGGAGGACATTATGCTGAGTGAACGAATTCAGTCTCATAAGAATAAGTAGAGCATAAGACTGCATCATTGTAAAAACAGAAGGATAACGAGTAAAACATGTAGGGGGATCCAAGGGGAGAAGTGTTGGGAATAGAGGGGTGATGGCAGGCAGGGAGGAAATCATAGGGTCACACAATTTGGTGAGTGGAGAAAGGGGGCTAAAGGAAATGGGAAAGAGCCCAAGGGGATCTGGAAAGACAGGGTAATAAAGGACATGGGTTAATGATTATTTATTTTATAAAACATAATGAATGAGGAGTGTATGAAATATAATGTAAAATGAAGTTTAGTGTGAAACACAATGTATATGAACTTTATTCACAAACCAATATAAAATTAAAACCAAAAAAACCCAACAACCCTCAACCAAACAAAACCCCCCTAAACAAGTTTGGAACACAGTACTTACAATTTACTTCCAGAATACACCTTCCTACCTCTAAAATCTTCCGTGCTTCCTCAGTCTGTTTTTAGGTGCTATTGAAAACTGCAATGTGTTGTGTATAGCCAGCAGGCCGATTTGTGTTAATATGGGATGTGCCTTTTGTACCTGAAGCAGTTTTAGTGAGATTGCGACCATGACTGAGCAAAAACAGTAGTGCTGTACTGAATCATTGTTTTGTTACTGTGCATATCCATAGGTGATATCAGGGAAGGAATCCATGTGCAAAATGTGGTAGAATCTTTGTTCTAAGCACTATAAGAACTTGGTGGGAAAGTTCCTGGGCAGCTGGATTGTGTTTGTGTTTCCTGAAGGCTCACAAAATGGCAGTCTGTGTGAGAAACAGAATAATAGTGATGCTTAAGCTTTCTGCACCTCCTTAGCTAGCTGTTCATGTTTCTTTTCCAATTGGCCACAAAGGCTCTGCCTGTGGCTGATTGGCATGGATTTGATATTTAACATAATGAGCAAGATACCTGACCTTGGCCATGACAAATGACAATGCGAGCAGAATTTGAAAATTGCAGGTATATTCCAAGAATGTTAACTATTTTAGGCCATAATATTTACTTTTGGGAAAGGATTGCCAGGTATTTCTGCTGAGGAATTACTGGCTGAGTTTAAATCAGTCTCCTGAAAGGACTACATCTAGGCTAGAGTGCTAAGGAGCAATGATGTCAGCTTGAAGACTAAGGCACACCAAATGCAGGTCATTGTCTTCACAATTACATGCAATGCATCAGAGAGCTGGAATGACTAAGGATGACAAAAGTATTGATGCCTGTGAGTTGTGGTGCTGGAGAAGAGTATTAAACACACCATGGACTGCCAAGAGAATAAATAGGTCTGTCTTGGAGAGAGTGAAACCACGTTTCTCCTTGGAGGCAAGGATTTTGAAGCTCCGTCCCAGCACACTTTGGGCACGTGGCCAGGAGGGACGGGTCCTTGGAGAAGGACATTATGCTTAGAAGGATGGAGGGACAGCACAGGACAGGAAGACCCTGGATGAGATGGATTGACACGACAACTGGGGCAATGGGGGTAGATGTGTCAGGGTCAGCGAGATTGGTTCAGGATGGAAAAAGGGTTAAGAGCTGTTGTACATAGGGTGTTATGAGTCGCAGGTGACTCGATGGCACATAACAACAGTCCCATGTGCATCAATTCCTGCCATTCTTGCCTTTCCCCCTTCTATCACCAACTAACCCCACTTCCTAGCTAATAGAATATGCAAAATCTTCTTGCACTTGCTGTTCCCTGAACCCATTCAGAAGCATTCCTTCAGCACCAGAACTAAAATTTGCAGCTCCATTTTCTATCAAAGCACTCTTTGGTCCACTTAAGATTTGCCTATCACAAGGTGTAATTATTTTGCCTGTTTCTGCTTTTTGCCTAGTTATTCGCATTGACCGTAAACTGCATGAAGACTAGGGTTGTGCTTATTCATTCTCATATCAATAGTGCTAAACAAAGGATTTGGGACACAATACTGCTTAATAAATCTTTTGGATTAGTCTTACCATTAGTATTACCAAAGAAGGTTATACTAATAAAAAGGATAGCATTGCTTCTGTAAAATGGATTGACACAGCGGCAACAAGAACTGGCTCAAATAGCAATGACTGTGAGGGAGGATGGCACAGGACTGGGAATCCTGTGTCCTCCTGATTTTGTTCTGTTCACCAAGTCGGAACTGCCCGACGGCACCCAACGGTAACAACAAAATTTCAACATAAACGGAATAAAAATTAGTGCACAATTTTCTTCGTGATGGCTTAAAAGACAGGTGCGTAAGAGAGACGCAGACAACAGACTAGATCAGAACCAAGAGTTGGACGCTACCTTTTCTATCTCAGCTCTTCGCGTTTCTCTGGTCCTTTTTAAAAAGATATACGTATATTTCTTGGCTTAAAAAAAAAAAAAGTAGTGAGATACATGGTTCAAAATTGGAAAGGGTGTACGCCAGGGATGCATCCTGTCTCCATACGTTTTCAACATGTATGCAGAGCAGATTATCCGAGAGGCTGGGCTCTATGAGGAGAATTGTGGCATCAGGATTGGTGGAAGATCTATTAACAGTCTGC